CACCATACATACAGAGATATAGTCATACATGACACCATACATACAGAGATATAGCCATACATGACACCATACATACAGAGGTATAGTCATACATGACACCATACATACAGAGATATAGTCATAATGACACCATGCATACAGAGATATAGCCATACATGACACCATACCACTACTATACACTACCCCAGGGTAGGATCACATTACTGTTTTATGTGACCGGATGTTTAAGTAACAGAAACACGAAAGAGTGAAAAGAATAGTTTTTAATCAAATATAACACATGACAATTCTATAACCTTTCGAAGTGAAGACTGCATAGCATTCCTACCCACTGACCCCACGGTGAGGCAGTGTGTCCTCTTACATGAAGTGTTACGGTGACCACTGAACTACTGTTATCTGGGAGAATGTAATACCATGTGCGTGTGTAAGTCTAACCTACCGTTGCACTTCAGGACTGATTTGTCATGTCTAGCTCAGACCAGATGGGCCCTTTGATGTATACCACCGTGCCGACGTAGAGACGACAGTACCTGCTGGTACGAGACTAGACATCCCACGGGCAACTAGCTGGCCCACCCTCTCCCTAGCCCACATCAATACATACTGCTACACACTCTCGCAGTCCCATGTCAGGGCTTAATCAGGTCCTACTAAGACAGATACTGGCGTGCGGCACTGTGACTAAAGATTCAATGATACAAGACATGTACACTGCACGACTTTAGCACGCTATCTAAGAAATATACGTGTGTCTTGTCATTCCATGTGCTTGCATACACCAGACTAAAATTAAGCGCAATAGGAAGGATCCGTATATTGTTTGTGTATGTTATGGAAAGCTGAAAGAACTGTTCTAAAGTTTAATTATGTCTATTTAACCAACACTCATTTCTAAAAGTGCAAGGTGTAATTTTGTATTTAAAAAATTGGTTCAATGACGATTTTGCTACGGAAAATGAAGTTGTATCCGCTTAAACATAACCAGGTTTTAGATTGAGTAACCTTATTGGTAAGATGCCCAAGCTGCCCATGGACAGTGGTGTATTATATTATGTTTGAATAAAATTAACATTAAATGCGTTTTATGTCAAATTAAGTTTTGAAAAATATAACCCTTTAGAAGCATTCTTAAGGTGATTATTTCCCCCGCGTAGTTATGTTATTTTATGTCACTTGATTGAAATACCGTGTAAAATCAGCAAAGAGTCATGGTAAATGTCCATGGCATGCTTATTTGCTGCCTCAGTTAATGCGTTTCGATAGATTTATCCATCCTAGATATTTCAACGTGATAAGAAAATCGAATATAACTTGAGGATTAATTGTAGCATGGAAACTTCTCTCTCTACAATCAAGGATCAGAAAAAGCCGTAACTGGAATTATTCCTTTCTTGAACAGAACACAATGGATGTTCCCTCAATGCGCGTGGCAACAGATTCAATTTTAGTTCTTACGAAAACCAAAAGAATTCGATGGTCTTTCGGAATTCTATTAAAGGGAGATAGTCACAGTGGGGAAGCTTTCTACACGTGGATCTGTATTTAATGAGATCAGGAAAACGGATTACAACCAGGTGAGCGTAAGTCCCCCTTCAAATTACAACTGTTGTATTGGACAACTCGGTGTCCAGGTTGGTTTGTCCTCGTGTAAATTAAACCAACCAAACTCTCAGACAGGGATGTCGAGAGACGCGATTAATTGTAGAGTGGTGGTGTTTAACCTGTTGCTGTGGACGAAGGAATGTTCAGTGATCTATATAGTGCGTGTGTAGGCACGGGGACTACAGCGGGACGCTCACCCACACGTCGCCACACGCTCAGACCACTCACAACTATCCGTAATCGACAAGCCAAGCTAAGACCATACACTGCTTTAACATAAAATAAGATATTTTCTATGAAACAGAGAAAAAAACAATATTACATTCTGTCGTTAATTTCAGAGAAACAGTAGATCAATTATTATTAGATTATTTGAATTGTATAAAGTATATCAGTTAAATATCAATATGATGCATAATTTCCAGAAACGTTTTAAATGGTTATTCTGCATGTACCAAATCCTTCAAGGTCAGGTATTTGAGAAGATCCTCCCTTTCCCACGAGTCTGTCCATCTCAATAATTCGGTTAATAAGAAATTTTAACATGCATAGGTCCGATACATGCATCGTCGAGTAATACTTCCTTATCGGGCGTCGCATCACGACGGGGAACAAAATACCTATTGCTTAGCGAAACCCAAATCGATCAAATTATGTGTAACGTTATCTGTCAAACATGCCTCAGAAAACAGGTCAACAGAAATTGATCACTGTCAAAAGCATGTAAGTTTCCATTTTGTCCGCCCCCTGCTGCGCCAATCCATGTTGGTCCCGGTGCTATTTCACGCCTGGCTTCATGCATTGGCAACAAGTTTTTTCACACGGTTTTGAAACACGCACTCGTCAGGGTATTTGTTGTTTGATAGATAACACTTTGTCAGTATCAATCAGCTAACTGTCAACAAAATGGTACTTCGTCACTTTTCAAAGTGTCACCCTTATCCCGTACTTATGGATACGATATTACCACTTGCTGTGATAGAAAAGCTATTCTGCAGTGAACACACAAGTAGATAGCATCGTGATGCCTTCAGCTGGCGAGGGGCGGGTCGAGGGGCCATTTCAATATATTGTCATTAACAATGTTCAAACATACCACTGAATGCTTTAGGGATATGATTTATGATCATTTCTGGCTCAACGTGAGATTGGACAATAAACATATTAGTTGGATCGTGTTTCATATGTTCATCATGACATACGGGTCACACTCTTTGTGTGGCTGTTTGAGATATAATATGAAAGTTTATGAAGACAAAATGTGAACTTATGTCCGAGTGATGTATTGTGAAGCTTGTGTATAGAATACGGCAATGTTTGTTATGTTGAGCATCTGGTTAGTGGGATACTGCCGTATCACTGTATTCTAAATAGATTCAATGTAACGTATTTCCACAATCCTGTCCTTCTAATCGCGGCGAGTGGCCAATTCTACCTATATTCTCATTGTATTCGTTCGTGATAAGAACACGGGACAAGAGTAGATCACAAAGGCCCTGCCTAAAGACCCTGCTTTTGTTCGTCTCGCCTGGTCTCCTCCTTGTAAAGATATCGCAGAGCCCTAGCCACGGTGACATGATCCTGCTGACCAAAGAGAGAACACTTATACCAGTGAAAAACGACGCCAAGCCTTCAACAAATTATCTGCGATAAAGTAAAATTAAATCATTAGCCTCCTCCTCAGAACGCCGGTTTAGGGGAAGGCGGATTAGCGGGTAATACTAGTAAATCCTCACTCGATAGCATCTTAGCAACTCGCAATGGCAACCAGTAGAGGGCACATGCGGTTTAGGGTATATTTGAAAACGTAGATACCACGCCAACTAGAAGCTAACCTAGGGTGAGATATTTACAACTAAAAATTAATCTCAGAGGATCTGGAAGCGATTGGCGCCCGTCAGTGTTGGCTTAGAGAGAGGGGATGAATAGCGAACAATTCTGACCTCAGAAGCCACAGCAAGAACATATGTGACTTGTAAACCGAGCCGAAGGTTTAGAGAAGAGCGTAAAGGAATTTGAATTTTAAATGTTGGTTTTAAGTGATTAACAGACGGAAATGAACAATCGATTGATAAGATATATTTGGCAAAATTGAAAGAAGGGAGATTTGAATTGTTCTAACATTACAGGACCTCATGGGGTAGGATGTTGATCTTGTGTCACTGGGTAGTTGAAGGAATGTAGAGATCAAGATACGGGTGCGTTGTGTTTGACTCAAGTTACCGCGTACAGGAGATTCTCCATATTCCACAGTGTTCAGGGCGACGGTTTAGTATGGTACCCGTGTTGTAGGCAGTGGCTGTATGGGAATGCAACGATCTGCTTTCATCAACCAATCAATCAACAAATCAATCATTTAATCAATCAATCAAAGATAAATTAAAAGACCCCTCTCTAAAACACCTAATATAAATTAAAAAATAAATGTATAAAAAAATAGAAAAATAAGAAACAAAACCAAGCACATGGGAAATCCACAGTCTCACAAACTGTACCCATATTGCACTTTACACAGTAATACAAAACATTTACATACATCCAATAATGGGGACTCGCACTTGCCAGACCCAGCGGTGTTATTAATCTCTGGACATCGTGAACCCACCTGCCAACAGGTAATCCCTGGCTTAACTGGAGCATTGACCAAGATGGTGGACACAGGATAAACCACATAATGGTCACCTTAAAAATGCCTAATGGCCTTAGTCTGACACGGCCAAGATATGTTCAAGGGCTCGAGTGTTACCTTGCATACAACGTGTATTGTGCTTATCTTGCTGTCCACAAAGGATTTCTTGTGGAGTTTGACAGGGATTAGTGCGACAAGATAAAAGCTTCACAACTGTGTTGAACTTGCTAACAAACAGTGATGTCATACAAGGTACTCCAAAACACTGCATTTGATAATGCCCTACCCCTCTTGGGTGTTTAGTGGGTTTGGGGTGTGCTGTGTAGGTTCATCCTTGTGAATTGTGATGGCAGGACATTATTGAGAAAACAGTTATGTCTTTTTATAGTCTGTTTTCAGTCGCTAAATATAGAAATCATGAGCTGCTGAAATAATTAATATCACTGGTTATTGTGTTTGTGAGAGAGGGAATGTTTGTGAGTGTGTGTGGTGAGTGAGTATGGTAGTGTGCCGTTTTTAGCAATATTCCAGCAATATCACGGCGGGGGACACCAGAAATAGGGTTCACACATTACACCCATGTGGGGAATTGAACCCGGGACTACCACGTGACGAAGGCTACCTCACCGCCCCCTGAGTGTGAAAGAGAATGTGAGTGTGTTGGAATGTGTCAGTGTGTGAAATAAAGGTGAGGATGGACAAAACGGATGTACATGTTTTATGTTTTGGTCTTCGCTAGTGTTTTACTCTGAATTTCTTTGTGCAGATGGTGCTTCCCGTGTGCCCAGTCCCGGAATCCAACAGCAGTATGTGGCCGGGTACGAGAAGTGTGTGAAGGAAGTCATGCAGTTCCTTGAAACACACAATAACATCACCCATGACATTCGGGACAAGATCACCACCCACTGCCAGGACAAACTACAGGAGAAAGCCCAGTCTGTTGAACCCATGGAGGGCATAAAATGGGAGAAGTCGGACGACGAGAGTGATCCACCATCAGCCAGTGAACCATCTTCGCCTGATATTGCTAAATCAACGACCCCCGTAGATGTCATTAAACAGGAGGAGCGACTTCCGGTCCAGAACACGGCCTATGTGACGCCTCTACTACAACAGTCCAGCCCGGAGACGTCTCCGGTGAAGCAGGCAACTCTGCAACAGGTGTCTGGCCCTATCAAGCTTGTGTGCGGAGGTGACATTTTAATACTCCTGGACTCGGCGTCAACACCAAATATTGTGAACCCACCCACCATTCCAAAAATACACTTCGGTCAGCCAACTTCTGTCCATCCACTTCCGGAAATGTACCCATCATGCAATGTAAACATGTTAGGCGGAAGTGTAGCTCAAGGAACCGTTCCGTATCCCGTGTACAGACTCTCCAATATTCCAATTGCAGGAATCACTTCTACGAGTGCCATTCCGACTAGCATGCAGTCAATCCAAGTGCCCAGTCAAGCTCAGAACAAACTGCAACTTCCTATTGGGAACGTCATCACCAGCAACGGCCAGCCACTGCCGCAGAATTGTCACGTTGCTGGTCAGCAGTCAACAGCGTCAATGTGGAGACCATGGTGACCCCCTAGATTGTTTCCTACGATAAGATGAATACGTCCCAGCTTTAATCTGTATATAATATTTATATATATGAACGCGGTGTATGTTACAGAGGGCTTTAAAGAGAGTGTCTGTTGATGTGTACATGTATATGATCAAGAGGGTGATTGTAATATGGGATGTGTAATACAAGTGCCCATGAACCTGCAACCTGCTGTGCTGACCAGTTCTACTTCATTATTCCATCATAGACCGTCATAGGGCAGGGTATACTTACTTTGTGGTGTTTGGTTGGCAATGCCATGACGTTTGGTATGCATCCATGTCGATATATAGCCAGGATACAAACAAACATACACCATGTGATATCCTTCAAGATGGTATATCCCTTACGATAACACCTATGTTTAAGATATCATGATGTATTCGTTAAGATATCATGATGTATTCGTTAAGATATCATGCCTCATTATTTAAGACAACGTATTCTAACCTTATACATAGCATGCTCTGTCTTAAACACAATGATGTATGTATAAAGATACAATGTCTATTATTTAAGACAACATATTCTAACCTTTAAAGATAACATGTTCTGTCTTTGAATATATCACCTTAAACTCTTTAACATACCATGTTCTGTCCTCACAGGTAATATCCCTGAGATTATCATGGTCTGTGGTTAAACATACCATGTTCTGTCCTCACAGGTAATATCCCTGAGATTATCATGGTCTGTGGTTAAACATACCATGTTCTGTCCTCACAGGTAATATCCCTGAGATTATCATGGTCTGTGGTTAAACATACCATGTTCTGTCCTCACAGGTAATATCCCTGAGATTATCATGGTCTGTGGTTTAACATACCATGTTCTGTCCTCACAGGTAATATCCCTGAGATTATCATGGTCTGTGGTTAAACATACCATGTTCTGTCCTCACAGGTAATATCCCTGAGATTATCATGGTCTGTGGTTAAACATACCATGTTCTGTCCTCACAGGTAATATCCCTGAGATTATCATGGTCTGTGGTTTAACATACCATGTTCTGTCCTCACAGGTAATATCCCTGAGATTATCATGGTCTGTGGTTAAACATACCATGTTCTGTCCTCACAGGTAATATCCCTGAGATTATCATGGTCTGTGGTTAAACATACCATGTTCTGTCCTCACAGGTAATATCCCTGAGATTATCATGGTCTGTGGTTTAACATACCATGTTCTGTCCTCACAGGTAATATCCCTGAGATTATCATGGTCTGTGGTTAAACATACCATGTTCTGTCCTCACAGGTAATATCCCTGAGATTATCATGGTCTGTGGTTAAACATACCATGTTCTGTCCTCACAGGTAATATCCCTGAGATTATCATGGTCTGTGGTTAAACATACCATGTTCTGTGTGGTTAAACCTCACAGGTAATATCCCTGAGATTATCATGGTCTGTGGTTAAACATACCATGTTCTGTCCTCACAGGTAATATCCCTGAGATTATCATGGTCTGTGGTTAAACATACCGTGTTTCATTATTTAGTATTCCATCCTTTATCCACAACGAGCTGTTAATGTGCCATGCTGTATCCCGACGTACACTATGTTTTGTCTCGGTGGAACCATCATTCCTACCCAAACAGTTCCCTCCTCACCACGAGACGTGATTACATACACCTCTCACATCCATTATACACGGCTAAACATGTACAGTTTGTTTGTTTCTGTACATATGATGTTTGTAAATATAGTAATAAATATTATATCATAAAAGAATCCGTTTTCTATTTTGTGGCGGTGTGAGTGGGCTCCAGCTATATCCCTATTGCAGGGTATCTGCTCCTATCGTATATAAAAATTGCCGGTATCTGGCTTCTGTTGAAAGCTGCAGTAGTAACGTTCCATCATATTTGATACTTCAGACATATAAAGAACTTATCTGTATAGTGTCTAAATATTATTCCTCGCAATGAAGGTAGTTGTTACTCTGTAGTAAACTGTTGTACGATCTGAAACATTCTACACTTCAGTACACTCTAGTACACCCTGAAACGCTCTAATACACTGTTGTCACAATGGTGTACCTTATACGTGGCAGTACACCGCTGCACACTCTACTGTGCTCTGATATACTCTGTTATACTCTCTGGTTCATTACCCGTGAAGGTCCGGGTTAGAATATTGATCTTCAGTGACCCATGCTTGTCGTAAGAGGCGACAAACGGGATCGGGTGGTCAGGTTCGTTGACTTGGTTGACACATGTCATCGGTTCCCAATTGCGCGGATCGATGCTCATGATGTTGATCACTGGATTGTATGGTCCAGACTCGATTATTTACAGACCGCCGCCATATAGCTGGGATATTGCTGAGTGCGGCGTAAAACTAAACTCACTCTGGTACATTCGGATACACTGCAGTACACTTCGATACACTCTGGTACTCTCTTGTGTATAGCAGTGACCTCACGTTATCCTTTACCATGATGTGTTACACCACACAGTCGTGTGCTCCAGTACACCCGTGTACATTCTAGTACACCTATGTACCCTCTTGTACACCCCAGGGCACTGCTCTACTCTTTGATATACTATAGCAAAGGGATGTTCAATATAGTACATCGAAGTTGTGTACTACGCTATCATACACCCTACTACAATGATATATACTCTTCTACACACTGATCCAAAGAGATCATATGAAAAGAAAAGTTTTCGTTTTGTCAGGAGAATTAGTTGCGTGATTTCATTCAATATCGGTGAGAATTACTACCACAGATATGATGGTTATCACAGGTGGACACAATACACCGGGACCATGGAGCTAGAGGCAGTTAAGCAGTGACATTCCTCAATGATTGGCGTCATGAAATTGACACCGACGTGTCAATATCTCACGCGGAGGAGACGATGTAGCTAAATGGCTTATTTCACCATTCAGGACCTGACTGGACATGAGACCCACGTTTATTCGTTTTAGGGCACGGGTATATTCATCGCACATCGCCACTGATGTGTCAAGTTAAAACATAAAATTACACATTTCCTCCACAAACCCGGATATTCAATTAACGTGTATGTGACAGCGCGTGGGACGTAATGTTATCCATTAGATTTACATTCTTTCCACCCTGGTGTACATTTCACGTGTTTCATTGTGTCGGGAGTACTGGGTGTGGACATGATTGGTTATAAAGGAATTGACATGGCTAGTTTTCAATTTAACGTTCGTCAGTGGTAGGTTTTCAATGGTCATGACGGAGTATCTGCCCTTATGGGAGTGACGGGGAATGTCAAAAGTAAATAATAGCATCAATGTGAAGTTTAGAAAGATTGCGTGGATCGTTTCCTGTGGAAAGCTAATTTTGTTATCATTATAGAACTATAGGCTGAGTGAGACGCCTTGCCACACTTCAGCACGTGGATGGACCTGGATGGAGACGCAGGTATATGCCATTCAGCCAACTATATGTATATTGTTGGACAGCACTGCACGGTTTTACCGGTATACCGGTATATTGCAATACGCTTTTCAAACGATACGTATTGCAATGTTTTTTATGAGAACCGGTATATTGGGCAAAGAACATAAATGAAGTTTTGTGATTATCTTTATGGTTTGAATTATAATCTACACAGTCAGACTTTCATTAACAACAAATATTTTCCTTCGTTATTCAATGACAATACTGCAATACTATTAATTGTATAACAAAGAATCCCTGACTAAGCAACCTAATTTTGAGATTGCTGTTATCAGAACCATACCATATATATGTTTAGGGACTTAGAATGTTGAAAACAGGATCGACATGTGCAATTAGTGTCACTCACTCTCAAACACAAACGTTCCCAATATATCACAGTACGTATCGCAATTATTGTTAGGTGAGGGATAGTGCACATGTTGGCATTACCAAAGATGTAGCTCACATCAACTGTTGCTGTGTTTATCAAGATGCTGTTCATTCCCTTAAACGCATCATCAATCAATGCACCATGAAAACACGTGTCCAGAAACCTCTGTTATGCCAGCGTTCATTCAAATACTTTAAAGGGAAAATCTATTTTGGGGATTGTTTGTAAGCAAGGTGACATGATTAGACACTTAACTTAAATTACAAATATCGTGAAGAAACGTTGGTTGGCTGAAAACAGACGCCTCCACACTGTATACGTAAACTTCGAATCGTATAGGTCCAAATCACTTAGCAATAATAAATGTCTATCAAATACATCATCACTGAAAATACATGTTTTGTATGTTTCATTTTTAGCCCCAATACTGTGTTTTGCCTTACAGTCTAGAAATCAACAGCGCGTATTTCACTGGTATGGTTTGAAATCCGGCTCGACTTGACATATAGATACAGCTATCTGGTACATAAATATAGTTTCACAAGACGAAGTAAGCAAAGCTTATGGAATCAAGGTGGACTTGAGAAAGGATCTAATGGCGAACTTTAAACCTCAAGGCAAAATGAGTCACGACAACGTTCACATTGCCGCCAGCGCCGTCTTGTCTCCTGGAATTGAACACTATATTTGTAACGATTTTAATGGTGATTTGATCGAGTGTTCACGTGACAAACCAAAGTTGCCCGTGGCGTGGGTGGGTGGGTGGTGGTGGGGGAGTCACACAGCGGGCACTATTTGTTTCTCAGGCAATGCCCGTTTATCGCTCTTTGTGACTTCATCTTACAAATATGTAAATTGTCAGTAAGATATGCAACCAAAACGAAGATAGGATTTCACATTTACCTTGAGGTAATGTTGATTAGGTCTGAGATAGGCCTCGGTAGAGAGGTGTGGAATGCAATATGGAATCTTATCTCAACTACAACTTTCCATAGTCTACTTCAAAACTCTCGTCATGTAGCTCATTATCCCTATATTACTGCTGATAACCATACAACATGAAGGAATCCGCCCAACATTCTGCAGTGTGGTCAACGTGAAAGAGAACATTCTTTAATGTTGGCCTATCACCTCGGTACAGTATTATTCACCATTCTCCAATGTTGGCCTATCACATTTGTTCAGTACAATTCCTCATTATTCAGTGTTGGTCCATCTTATCTGTACAGTATAATTCATCATTATTCAATGTTTGCCTATCACATCTGTAAAGTACAATTCCTCTTTATTCAATCTTGGCCTATCACATCTGTACAGCATAATTCCTCATTATTCAATGTGTGCCTATCACCTCGGTACAGTATTATTCACCATTCTCCCATGTTGGCCTATCACATCTGTTCAGTACAATTCCTCTTTATTCAATGTTGGCCTATCACATCTGTAGCATACAATTCCTCTTTATTCAATCTTGGCCTATCACATCTGTACAGCATAATTCATCATTATTCAATGTTGGTCTATCTTATCTGTACAGCATAATTCATCATTATTCAGTGTTGGCCTATCACATCTGTACAGTATAATTCATCATTATTCAGTGTTGGTCCATCTTATCTGTACAGTATAATTCATCATTATTCAGTGTTGGCCTATCACATCTGTACAGCATAATTCCTCATTATTCAATGTTTGCCTATCACATCTGTAGAGTACAATTCCTCTTTATTTAATCTTGGCCTATCACATCTGTACAGCATAATTCATCATTATTCAGTGTTGGCCTATCACATCTGTACAGTATAATTCATCATTATTCAGTGTTGGTCCATCTTATCTGTACAGCATAAGTCATCATTATTCAGTGTTGGCCTATCACATCTGTAGCATAATTCCTCATTTTTCAATGTTGGCCTATCACATCTGTAGAGTACAATTCCTCTTTATTCAATCTTGGCCTATCACATCTGTACAGTATAATTCCTCATTATTCAATGTTGGCCTATCACCTCGGTACAGTATTATTCACCATTCTCCCATGTTGGCCTATCACATCTGTTCAGTACAATTCCTCTTTATTCAATGTTGGCCTATCACATCTGTAGAATACAATTCCTCTTTATTAAATCTTGGCCTGTCACATCTGTACAGCATAATTCATCATTATTCAATGTTGGTCTATCTTATCTGTACAGCATAATTCATCATTATTCAGTGTTGGCCTATCACATGTGTACAGTACAATTCCTCATTATTCAGTGTTGGCCTATCACATCTGTACAGCATAATTCCTCATTATTCAATGTTTGCCTATCACATCTGTAGAGTACAATTCCTCTTTATTCAATCTTGGCCTATCACATCTGTACAGCATAATTCCTCATTATTCAATGTTTGCCTATCACATCTGTAGAGTACAATTCCTCATTATTCAATCTTGGCCTATCACATCTGTACAGCATAATTCCTCATTATTCAATGTTGGCCTATCACATCTGTAAAGTACAATTCCTCTTTATTCAATCTTGGCCGATCACATCTGTAC